AATCATGGCTGGATCAATCAGAAACATGGAAACAATTTACCAGAAGAAGAATTTTACATATATTCCACCAACACCGCCTGCAGATCTCATCGACTGTAGCAATTTTACACTAGACTTCACCGGCCGTAAKTTTTTGAATGTAGGTCTTGATCCTACAGATGATTTCAACACTATAGTGCAAATAATAACACCTTCACGATATTTTACTATTTTTAAAAATCGGGAGTGTTAAAGTCTTAGAACATAAATTTATAGTACCGGCGCACACCCGAATGGAGTGTGATTCCGATCATACCCAAAATGAGAAAAAAAAAAGGTTTATGATGCACCAATTTATCACCCACATGACTGAACACAACTTATAGGTTTTAAAGGGAAAAATTCACCTTTTGAAGTAGTAGAACTTAAAAATGAAGACATATTTGATTTTGGGAGTCTTTTGAAAACAGTTGTTACTGGTATACAGGGTGATTCTTGTATCAAACAACACTCATTATTTGAAAAAGTATTGACTTTTTTATTAGATAAACCGCTATCAACTTTTGATTTTCAAATGGTAACCTATACTTAAAATTTAATAAATTAATAAAGCTTTTTTTTTATTTATGATTACATTAAAATTTTGAATTTAGCGCTAGTAGTTTATGAGTTATAGGTATTTAAAGTTTAGATTGGCAGAGTGGAGTGGTACGGGGTTACCAGATAGGTACATTCAGATTTGGTGAATTTRGTACGTCATTATAGATAACTTTTTATCATTTTACTTCAAATCAAACCATATTTACTAAAAGAATATTATGCTTAAAATGTAATAAATCAAGTTTAATAATAATATGATTGAATTATGAAATGTGTATAGAGAATGAGGCATGTGTAAAAAGGTATAAGTCAGTATCATGATGTGTAAAAAATAATAAGTCTCTTAAGTACTAAAATAAATTTAATTTCAAAATATATTGTTATACAATAGTTATGTAACTCACTATGTAGTTGACATTTTTGATAAAATAATAATTTAAAAAAAAAAATTATTGAAGAAATGAGATGTTATTTTTGATTCCTAAAAACTATAGATTTTTGACTTATTCCCTTTTACCCGCCCACTGACCATATCATCAATACCCCACGAATGAGGAATCAAAAGTAAAATAATTGCTTTTTTCTCCAGATAATACTAATTGTAACTTTAGTGGTGTAGCTCGAAATGGAAAAAATAATGTATTTTACAAACTTAAAGTGATTTTTAATAAAGATTTAATCGGAGTTGGCTGTGCTGCACATATACTTAATAATTCAGTACAAACAGCAGCAGACACATTAACAATTGATGTACAGGTTATTATTTGAAAAATTTTTCAGCATTTTTATATTTACACAGTTCGAATCCATGTCCTTAAAGAATTTTRCGAATTTGTAAATATTGAATACAATACCCTGTTAGGACATTCTAAAACTCGCTGGTTGTCTTTATTTTCTGCTCTCGCTCGACTCATAGATATGTTTGATGGTTTAAAATCATATTTTCTTTCAATTGACAABTGTCCAACTTTAATAAAAGATTTTTTTAATAATCCATTATCATATTTAATTCTGATTTTTTACAAATTCAATGTGAATTGCTTTTTACATGTATAAAAAGTGTGGAGGCCAAAAACATTTCAATAATTGAAGTTAAATATTATGTTGAGACTATCACTAAAAAATTGAATCTCGTAAAAATGAAAATGTTTTTACATCTAAAGAACAAGAAGTTTTAACCCTAAACTTGGCGATGTATCTTTTAAGATACATCATATAAGAACTATAATTTTATCGTAAATATAAAATATATTATATTGACTATTATATTTTATAATGTCTTTGGAAGTCCACTATCATTATTGTTACCAATTTACAGCTTTCCGCGCCATACTTTATCTATTATGCTTTATCTAAAAATGTACTATCAGTTGTTTTAATAATTTTAGCTGCTGACTCATTTTTATCTCATTTAATCCATAACTTTAAAGCCGTTCTGATTCAAAATAATTATTGAAACTTCTTCAGGTACGTCTATAGTCTGTTCAAAATAAGAAACGCCTGCGGCGGCGACCAGTTTTCGTCGCCGGCGGTCAGGTCACGCCCGTTATTCTCCAGCTGCTTTCCCCACTCCACCGACCGGGCCCGACTGACCCGACGCAGGTGGTCGCTTGTGCGCGCCTTTCCGTTAAATTTCAAATAACAACGTTCACTGTTCATTGTAGAAATTGTGTTCATTCTGTCACAACGTACTAGATTTGTAWCAATTTTTACAGCTCGTTATTTTTTACAATGAGTGGGCAAAGCGAAAAAGATTCTACTATTTCTCCAAAACGAAAAAATCCAAATGGAAAAGTAAGTAAATAAATGTATATTGTTAGAATTTATTATGTCGAATCAGCAAAAAAAGGTGGATTTCAAGTAGCTACTGCTTTTATTTTTTTTATCATTGTAAAATCAATACATTCATCACTGCTCAGAATCTAAAATGGTCCTATAATCCACATACTAATCAAATACCAATTAAAATATTAGTCTTCAATGTATTTTAAAGTTTATAATTTTAATTTTCTTTTTCGCAGTATGTACTCAGTCGCCAAAAAATTATTATCGTTAATTTGCACAAAGATGCTCTGTCAAAGAATCCAGATATAAATTATACTGATTTGTATGACAATATGTCAAAAGCCACTGGTATAGGCTATCGTACAATCAAGGATACCATCAACGAGTACAGGAAGACAAGTACAGTGAAATCTCCCAACAAGAAGAGAGTAAAGACATCGCTTTTTGATAAAACCGATGATCTTGATCGCAATGGACTACATACGTCAAAAGGTACACGCAATTTGGTTAAGGGGTGAATTACCGACAGTTGATAAAATACTATTTGATGTGAACGAAGATCCAACACTCCCCAACTTCAAACGTACCACATTATACAATATTATAAAAAAATTAGATTTCGTGTTCACAAAGAGAAAAAGATGTAGTGTGTTAACGGAAAGGAACGATTTAATTAATTGGCGCCGCAACTATTTATACGATATCCGAAAATATCGTGGCGAAGGTAAATCTATATATTATTTAGATGAGACGTGGTTGAACGTCGGTGATTGTGTAGACCGTGTGTGGGTAGATACAACGATACAATCAAAACAGGATGCATTTAACAAAGGCCTAACCACCGGCCCGAAAAACCTGACTGGTAAGGGACAACGATTGATTGTACTACATATAGGTTCAGACATGGGTTTCCTCGAAGGCGGCCTATTATGTTTTGTATCAAAAAAAAATAGTGCCGACTATCATGACGAAATGAACGGCGATACATTTAAAGACTGGTTTGTATCTATTCTACCTCGGCTACACCCAAATTCTATTGTGGTGATGGACAATGCACCGTACAATTCCGTTCAAACTGAAAAATATCCAACTTCCAATTCAAAAAAAGCTGACATTTTGGAGTGGCTTAATTCTAAAGGTATCACTTTCGATAGACCATTGTTAAAGGCTCAACTTCTAACTAAAGTACAAGAGTTAAAACCACGTACAAAATCCTACGTTATTGACAATCTTGCAAAATACGCTGGACACACCGTACTCCGATTACCACCGTACCATTGCGAATTCAATCCAATTGAATTAGCGTGGGCGATGGTAAAAGGGTACGTGAAACAAGAAAATACAATGTACAAGATCGACGACGTTCGCCAACTTTTGAATTCGGCAATTGAACGAGTAACGGCAGAAAACTGGAAAATTTTTATAAAACATGTCATCGACGAAGAAGATAAAGTTTGGAAAGTTGACGACATCATGGATGAAATAATCGACGAAATGGAACCATGTATTTTGACGATTACAGGAGACACTGATTATTCTTCTGAATAATTTGTTTTTATTTGTTTTTGTATTATAATTATTATTTTTTGTATTTATAATTAATTTTTTTTATTATAGTAAAATATTAGAAAAAAAAATTGTTTTTATTTTTTACGTTTGTACGTATTGCATTT